CACAAGAGGAAGTGAGGTCAGAAGTCCGCGCGGATGGGAGGGGCGTCTGCGCAGGGAGGGCGCAGCTCATCGGAGGAACAAAGCCGCCATCTTGGAGTCGGGCAAAGGAGAGGCCGGGCGGAAGGCTAGAGGCGGCCATCTTAGAGCCGGTCAAAGCCTGTGAGGGCGGGCACAGCCATGGCGCTGGGAGGAGGGGACGCTCCTAAATCAATACTTCTATAGTCCTTCCGAAACGAGCAGCCTCCGCTGCAAAATTGCCTCGGGAGTAGGAGCTACGAGGAAATTGGAAGTACGATTTCATGATGCAGTGTGAGCATACCTATCAGGAGCAGCACAGCTGGTGACAGCTGCACCAGCACAGACAAGGAGAGGTGGAGGCTATGTCTGGGTGTGTTGAGTGTGCTCTTTTTCATTTATAAAAAGAAAGAAAGAAAATATTTTGAACGTCAACTTCTGTTTTTTTCTCGTCCGAGTTCTGACCTGATTTTTGCACCCGTAACAGAGACATGAAACGCAGGAGCCCAGGCAGGAGCATAGCCAGCAGTGACCCTTCCTTTGTGCTAAGTACTTTCAAGACAGCATCTGGAGTACCATCATCCCCCCAAATGCAAATACAGACTGGATGGAGCAAGTCTGCAGAAAGCCACAAAGGTGGTCATGGATCAGAGCATGAGGGACGAAGCTGAGAGACAGGCTTTTTCAGCCTTAAAAAGGTGAAGGTTTTGTAAGGACCTTGCTGTCCACACTTAACCTCACCAGAGGACACAGAGAAGACAGAGGCAAGCTCTTCTCAGGGTTGCACAGCAATAGGCAACAGGCACGGATTAGAACACAGGAAATCCTAGTTACATATAAGGATTTTTATTTTTTTTTTAAGCCATGGAGGCAGTCAAATACTGGAACTTAGGCCATCATAAGAGGTTATGGAACCTCTGTCTTCGGAGTTGTTCAAGACTCAGCTGGATACAGCTCTGAGCAACCTGATCTAAATAGACATGCTTTGGACTAGATGACTTCTGGAGGTCCTTTTCAACCTAAATTATTCTATGGGTCTATGAAAAATTTAAGTACTCTATTTTTAGTGATACTTATGAGGATTAATTATGTTGTATTAGGTAAAAAGGACTTAAATTTATTAATTTCCATGTTAATTCATTGCATTGTATCTTTGAGCTGAACAGCGTGCAGTTACAACAGGTTAAGGCCCTGCTTTGAACAGCCCACCTCACTCACTTGAAGCATACCGTGTGAGAGGAGTAACCTGATGGGTTGTTACTCTACTCCCATCTCACCGCATCAGTCAGAACTCATGAATAAACAGCAAGAGTAATCTTACAGCATTTCTGTGCACCTCTGCTGTAACACCAGGCAGCCAAAGCCTGCAAACTTCAAAGCATTAACAAATACTGACTTACTAATTAGTTGTATCTGACAATCAATTCCTATATATAATTAACAGTATTTCACGCAAATTGTAAATGCTCACCTTCACTTTCAGCTGTTTAGCTCAAAACTTTCACAAGCATGCATGCAGTGTACCAGATGCTTTCTACAAGACGCTGATTTAATCAGGATTTTATGTAGTCATCACTAGCATAGGTAACTTTCAGTCGTGTTTTCAGCCTTCAGTTTTAAATTATTAAAAATTCCTTTCCCTGTAACAATAAGCAGTTTTCCTTCCCCTCTTTCCCCCCTCTAGTTTCTGGCTCCTTTTTCAAGTGTGTTGACCAGTTTAAAAGCCTTCAATTTAATTCTAAACATGAGGACCTCCTATGCTTTTTAACAGCAAAAAGCGTAATTGTTTGGAAGATAATGGTGCAAATTCCCCTAATGTCATCAAGCTAGACCTATTTTAAATGGGTTGCAACCTTCATCCAGACCTGTATCTATTTTATTAATAAACCCAAAGTATGATATAATTCAAAATATAACCCAATTGCCTATTACAGCCATAGTGCTTTTGAAGTCCAAAAGAACTGCAGGAAGCAAAACTGTGAAAAGAGAGCTGCTTTCTTGCCTAGTGTAGAAGATAAAGCAAGCCCTCAAAGCAAACACGTATGAAGATGTGGCATCAATAAACTGAGAAGTATCTGATTCAGAAAATAGAAAAGGTTCATATTCTCCTGTGCTTCTACTAAGTCAGAGGACAGTCTACATAGTATAATTACTGAAGTGGCCAGATGAATACTTAACATAAAGAGTTTAACAAATGGCCACTCCCTCTAGGGATGGGAAGGTGGGGAATTACTAAGGGAACCCTTATCTGCATTCTGGAAATTAAATAGGAACATAAATGGGCTTGAAGTAATTGTATACCATCAGCTGCATTTGAGGCTCATTCAACTCGTTACCAGCATTGCAACTGCTGCTAACTGGATCATAATTGCAGAAGAATGGCCACAGTGGGTCCAGAAATCCATCTAGCTTACTGAATGAGTGCAAGGCAGGACCTTTACAGCCATCCTTTTCCTGACAACAGCTTCCAGCAATCCATGGTTTTACTTCCTGACCCAGGAGCTCCACTGAACCTTTGCGTGTAACAACCATGCGATACATGAAGCCATCCATTCCCTTTTTTCAACCTTTTATCCTCTCCAACAGTGCATTCCACAACACAAGTAGTGCATCAGCCTTTTTAAGTGTCTTACAGAGGGTACTGCTTCACACACCCCATTAGTTTGCATCTCAACTTAGAAGCCTCTTTTTATGCCACCTGACATAGATGCAGAGTAAACTTGTACTCTTGTGCTGTTTTATCCTTCAGGAAAGAACAGCTTCTCAAACAGCTCCATTTCCCCTGCCACCTGGGTCCTTCCTTAAAGACTTAGGAAATGTGTGCTAATACAGCAGATTGTCTAAGAAACCAAATGTTTCATGGCAAGATGATGTTTATCAGTCTGCAAAACCAGACATGGTTATTTCATAGATTAATTCTCTTCAGTATATCTTCCAACAGTTGAAGAGAATATGGCACAAGTTATGGATGTTAGTCAGATGTTTATTCAGCATGACTAACAGTTTTGAAAGTTAGCGCTTTCCACCAACACGGGGAGCAGAAACCTTCACTGGTTTCACAATCTTCTGCTTAGGTGCTGCCTTTGTAGGAGCCTGTGGAGAAATAATAAAGCATGAGCAAAGAGAAGCAATTTATCTGCAGTCCTGAAAGTGTCTCTATATATTTAAGATTCTTGACAGAAGTTGGGCAATTTAAATTAATTAGAATAACAATCTATCAGATTAGAATCATGTTAATAGATTTCTTACACACATACCACTGTAAGCCTACAGCATATACGACGCCAACGCATGGGATTAATTCATAAGTAATAATTAAACAGATGCTAGCATTCATTAATACATTGTTACGAAGTTCCTAGATAGTGAAGATGTCACATCCAGACAAGTTTTTAGTGATCAAGAATTTCTGACATAAGGCCAGAAAGTTGTTTTACTGTAATATTTAGTTCTTCTGTAAAAAAAGGTTCATGCTATTCAGCTGTTTGGGTGCGTTTAGCTTTTGTACTAAAGTTTGGTCAAGGTGCTTCTGGATCAAAATAGATAAGCAAATGCTTCTTCCAAACACAAATGGGAATTTCCAAAAAGCGCTGCAACAGAATGTTGTCTTGCAACACTGTATACTCCATTTCATGATTTTTGTCCACCTATTGCAGCTTACCTTTGCAGCAGAAACAGCTGTTTTCTTGGTTGCCTGCTTAGCCTTCTTAGCTTCTTTTGCAGCCCTATTAATTCACAGAAAAAGAGGAACAGTTATTTGTGTCTGCCATTCACTGTTTCTTTGTCTCGGCACTATAAGAGCTCCCTAAGATCAAGAAAGGAATGTATTATTTCAGGTTTATCCTCTGCATTCAGTACCCTCTAGGGAGACTACGACAGAGACAGCAGAACTGTGTGCGACAAAAGTGGTATTTTGACAAAGGGAGAGGGTAAGAAGAGACCCTTCGCTGCTGCTGCTATCTCTTGCTGAGATTACTCAGTATTACCTCCAAATATACTGATTAAAAAAAAACAAAGCACCAACAAAAAAGCTTATAAAACACAGAGCTCATCTAGAGTTTAAGCTCGTGTACAAAAAGCATTATTAAACTTTGAAAAGCCTAGGATAGCTCCATTTTACCTCTGATTTCTCACCTAATAGCTTGTTCCCTCTGCGCCTTTCGTACTTCAGGCTTCTGATTTCGTTTAGCCATAATCTCAGCTAAAGATGCACCAGTGATAGCTCTCTGAAACTTAACAGCACGACGTGTGCGCTTCTTTTGTATCTCTTCCTAAAATGGCAGGAGATGGAGACAATTAGTATCACAAGACATTAAATAAAAGGCTAAAGACAATTATAGAAACCAGCTGCTATTAAGATTGAAGCTATTATAAAACTGTATGCAAAGTGAGGTACCTCACTTTGGAGGCACCTGATTTCCTGATTTGCCAAAGCAGATGAATAGCTAAAAAAGAACAATGTATTCTCCTTTGCAAAGCATAAAAAATTTTGTAAGAATGTCAGAAGTTCAGCCTTCTGTAACTCCCAGGAAAAAAATGAGGGAGGAATAAAATCTGCATTGATGGAATGTTCTAAAAGGAAGACACTTCCCATCTGTTTCAAGCGGGATCACGGTGCTGGGCAGCAGTGTAAGCCATTGAGCATCAACTTTCCTTCTCCAAACTGGTGAAAGCATAGACTTATAACACATCTGTAAGCCTTTCTAAATGTTCTTTTGCTCTTCAAGTTTAAGCAAGAGCACTGAAAATACCTCATGCTATATTCCTTATTATCTTTTTTCATGCAATGACAACTACATAGGAAAGACCTACTAAGTTACAGCCCAAAGTTTTCAAGAAGGGTACATTAAAAGTTCCCCCACCCTTTAACGCCCAAATCATCTGTTTGGAACTATGACCCACTGTATTTTCAGGTCTCTATGCTGTCATCATTCAGGAAGTTCACAAGTCTAAACTTTTAGAAAGTCTATATATTAAAGAGCATTACGCACTGTCTGTACAACTAATTTTTTAAAACATATGCTATTCACACAAGCGTTGAAATCAACTGAACCTACTGTGATTCTGAGTGAACCCTCAAAGAAGTGATATAATACAAATGCAATGCTTTTGCTGAACTGGTTAGCTTTCAGACATAAAGCAACATTGGCCAGTCATCATCCTGGTTACATGGGTCATGCTTCTGCTAAACAGCAGCATACTGAAGTCACCTCTGTTCTAACAGACTTTACCTTTTGATGGAAAACTTTAGAGCAGCGTTAGTTGGTATATACTTACTGACTGCCCTTTCTTGTGTTTGCGCCTATACAGAACAGTCCAGTTGATTTGACGGGGGTTTCTCTTGGAAAGGAATGCAGACTCACATTTTGCATTCAAGAACTGAAAAACCTGGGAAGGTAAAGTATTTTGTGTAAGCTTTGTTTCTATGAAAGGCATTATTACAGTTTACATTAGCATACCAAGTAATTATTTAATTCAGTGTTTTTCAACAGTGATGGTTTTGTATTTCTTTACACAGCTCTGACAACCCAAAATCTTAGAACGTAATTTATAAAATTTAAAGTTTGGAATTTTGTTCCATCAATTAAACTGATGTCTCACAAGGCATTCCATTATAAGGAATTTTCCAAGCCTCATTTAGTTCTCTCACAATAAAGCCTCCTGTTACAGTTTTTGTTTTCATAATACAACTAAGCAGCTTATTTTTACTGAGGAAAGTTCAAATTACCACTTGCATCCACTGCTGCACTGCATTCTAGGTGCAGCATGAACAGCCATATCTAGCATCATACTTTTCAAGTAACTACATGCTTCCTGTAAGCATGAGTCAAAAATTGGCATAAGGAACACAGAGAGACCAATATTCCACCCAACTCCTTCTTGCATAGTTACGCTAACCTCCTTGCCTAGAATAACAGGCAGAATTAGCGGGCTGATTTATTAAGAGCCATACAATTACATCTGAAGTATAAACAAATTCCCAGGAGAGCAACCGAGGATTCAGTCAGTCCATTTACTTTGCTATTATTTTGCGGGACATTCTGTACAGTAAGACCACTATACTGGGATATCCAAAACCCAAACCCGCCTTTTGTAGACAGAAATAGTGTATTTCTGACAGTCCTACCTGTATGAGATACGACAGCCCAAAAGGGCTCTCCTCCCTATTTTATCCCAATAATCCATACATGAATTATTTGCAAGTCCAGATGTTTGCTTTAGCAAATCCAACCATTAGATACAGTATGTCTAAACAGTATTTTCTACACAACTTTGGTACTTTAGACCAGATGCTTTACGACACCCTTCCCAAATTAGAACCTAAAACCCGACTCAAAATTCCAAAGCTACAGCGCAAACACGGTTCTCCCGGGGACCAGGTCTGACGGTAGTCGCGACACCTGGACACCGACGGAAGCACCGCGATGCTATTCCCA